TCGCCAGAACGCGCCGTCGTTTATTTTCCTGACGGCCCCGTCAGGCCATCCCGAGTCTCCCGAGCCCGAGTCTTACGTCTCCCCAGTCGTGTAGGGGTTGCTGCTGGGGTTCAGGCGTCCACCGAACGTGTTTCGTTTTTTGGGGTATCGAAGACGCGCGCGGCGAACGACCGGCGCCTCCTGCCTTTTGGAAACGCTCCCGTGGCCAAACGTTGGGCTGGAGCCTTGCCAATCTATTGGACGATGTCTTCCCCGAGCCGTTGTGGAAGGGACTACGACGGCGTGGAGGAGGAGGAGAAGGAAAAGGAGGTGAGGAGATGGAAGAGGAGGAGCAGGAGCAGGAGCAGGAGGAGGAGGAGGAGGAGGAGGAGGAGGAGGAGGAGGAGGGAGGGAGGAGGAGGGAGGAGGAGGAGGAGGAGCAGAGCAGGAGCAGGAGGAGCAGGGAGCAGGAGGAGGAGGGAGGAGGAGCAGGAGGAGGAGGAGGAGCAGGAGCAGGAGCAGGAGGAGCAGGAGGAGGAGGAGGAGCAGAGGAGGAGGAGGAGGGAGGAGAGGAGGAGGAGGAGGAGGAGGAGGAGGAAGGAGGAGGAAGGAGGAGGAGGAGGAGGAGAAGGAAGAGGAGGCCTCCTGGTGCCTCGGGGGAACTCCCTTGGGGCCTCTTGGGGCCGCTGCGGACATCTTGCGTCTTGCGTCTCCCCGGCAGGAGGAGCTGGGGCTCCCGCCGGACTACGGCAGCCCCGCGTTCTGGGAGGTGCGCGCTCGCTTCCCCGTCTCCCGCCCCCTGGGTGAGCCCCCGCGGCGCTCGGGGCAAAGGGGCGCGAGGGACAGGGAAGCAACGGCGTGAACACGTGCTTGTGCTCCTCTCCTCCTCCTCCTCCTCCTCATCCTCCTCCTCCTCCTCCTCGTCCGCCTCCTCCGCCTCCTCCTCCTCCCTCCTCCTCCTCCTCCTCTTCCTCCTCCTCCTCCTCCTCCTCCTCCTCCTCCTCTCCTCCTCCTCCTCCTCCTCCTCCTCCTCCTCCTCCTCCTCCTCCTCCTCCTCTCTCTCTCTCTCTCTTTTTCTCGGCCATGGGCCGCGTCGCACGCGGCCATTCCCCCCCAGGAGCGGCCAGCCTCCTCCTCCTCCTCCTCCTCCTCCTCCTCCTCCTCCTACTCCTCCCGATCCTGCCCTTTCTGGGAGGGGGGCGAGCGGGGCGAAGAGGAGGAGGGGGTGGAGAAGGGCGAGCAGTGGGGAGCAGAGCAGAGCAGCGCCACTGGCCCGACGGAGTGCCTCAGGGTAAAGAAGCACGACCGAGGCCCCGATGCAAAGACCAGGCACTCGTGAGCCACTTTAAGGGGCACGAGCATCTGTGGGGCTGGAGGAGGGGCAGGGGCACTAGTGGAATGCACGTCATGTGCCTGTCGATTGTGGCAGAAGGGAGCTCAAGTGAAGCGTAGGGGAGTTTGAGTGTCAATCAGTCTGCCAATGCCCGAGGCGCTGTAGGCTTTGCCGAATGAATGAATGAGCGGCAGGGGCAGAAGGAGGGGGTGGATCGAGGAGCAAACACTTGCATTAACGTAGAGTTCGGAGGGCCGCGCGGATTCCTCGGAGCAGCGCTGAACCCCTCCCCCACGGCGTTGCCGTCCCGAGGGGAATCCGACGCCGATCCGAGAAGCCAGCGCCGACCTCCGACAGTCTATACTCACGCTGCTCTCTCT